GCGGGTCAGTGGTGGAAGTTCATGCGAGGTCGTATTGAAGGGACTTGGGAGGCTTTCGTTGGTGCCTTTCAGGAGAAGTTTTTGTCTCCCACTATCAGGGAAAAGTTGAGGGATCAGTTTTGTCAGCTCAAGCAGCTGCGTACACCAGTGGCCGAGTTTAAGGCTGCATTTACCAGTTTATCTAGGTTTGCACCTGAGCTAGTGGCGTTTGAGGAACGTCGTTGTCTTGAGTTCGAAAAGAAGTTGAGACACGGGCTCAAGGTTAGGGTTACTGGGCCCATGCACTAAAATGTGTATCAATCTGGAAGTATGAAGTGTTTGATTTGAGCTTGAGTCTCATTTGTTTGTTGATATTGGAAGGATGTGAATATGATATATGTGATTCACTGTTATAAGTTTGGCCAGGTTCTGAACCATGTTGATTAAATTGGAAAGTAAAACGTATCTTTGGCAATAGTGTCGTGAGACTGTAAAATGAAGTAATTGATTATTTTGGTTGACCATCTGTTGAATGCTATTGCTTTATTCATTGCTTATATTTGGTTTAGTATATTTCTACTGGGCTGTGGCTCACCCTTTATGGGAACATCATTTTCAGGTTCAGGGGATAAGCTACCTCCAAGGACTTAGCTTGGAAGGACTTGGATTCTGAAGACTATTTTTCTGTTGTTTGCTTTTATTTGTTAGTACATGTAAACACTCAAGCCTAGGGCTTTTCTTGTATTGAGTTAGAACTCGTATTTTTGTATCCAAGTGTTGGCTTGGAAAGATGTAAGCCTGTAGGGCATTTTATTCGATTATTTAGTAGTACTCTGATGAATGAATTAGTAAAATGTCTTCTTTAAATAATGCATGTCAATGATATATAATGGGTTAATTTTGAGGGCGTTACAGGTCCCAAAATAATTGTAAATTATTTAGTGACAGGCATTGTATATACACATCACATTTATATCTTTGTTAAGATTTATATATTGTGTTAGATTGTTTATACTAGGTTTTGGCTCACCCTATTGGGAAAAACCATTTTCAAGTGCTGGTGATATGCTTCCACTAAGGACTTAGCTTGGGAGGACTGTGGAGTTGAAGCTCACTTTTGTTCATTTTGTATTTATTTTCTTTTCAAGCCGAGGGCTTTATGTGTATTGAGCTTCTGACTCACTTGTTGTAACCGAGCATGGTCTTGGAAAGATGTAAGCCTGTAGGGCATTTATTTTGTTGATCATTAAGTTGGTATCACATGCTATAGATTCAGGGTAAAGCTTATGAATGTATATCGCATGTGTCACTTTTGTAAATTAACTTTGATTAATGAAAGTCTATTATTTTGTTTGTGTCATCTTGTATTAGTCATTTGCAGATGAATTATTGTAATTATTTTAGGGGCATTATAACTTGGTATTAGAGCGTACCGGGTTCAAATACTTTGGGT